TAGATATTTCATTGTAAATGTGACATATGGGAAGCAGATATATAAGATGTCCCCCTTTGAGTCATAAGAGAAACGAAAATTAATGTCAACATGGTAATCAATACTTATTAAAATAGCTTAGCTTTTTTAAAAATGACAACTCTAAATTCTGGTGAGGCAAATAAATCAGATACTTCATAGGCCGTCAGAGTGTAAAATAGTACAGTCACTCTAAAAATGTTAATAGTTTCTTCAAAAACTAGATATATATATTTACCATATGAATATCTGTCCAAAAGAAATAAAAAGTTACATTTACACAAACACCTGCGGGTTAGGACTTGGAGGCACGGATAGCCGTGTGCAAGCAGGAGGACCTACAACTGGATCCTCAGCACATAGATTTTATGCATCTTAGTTATTGCATCAAGACTTTTCTGTATTTCAATGAAAAAGCAAACCACTAGCTTCTTATTTAAGATTTTTAATGGTTGTTGGAGTGGATCAACACACTTGGTTTATCTTGTCCTTTGGTTTGACATAGTGTATGTTTGTGTGTGGTGATGTGGGCTTACAAAGAGATCAGGCTATAGGCCAAAGTGGCAGTCCTTCTGATAAACAGGAAAAAAAAAAAAACAGCAGATGGTAAACAGCAAAGAAGATAAAGCAAAATATGAAATTCATACTCAAATTGGCAAAAACAATTTTTAAACCAAAGCAGTTTGAAAGAGTACATGACTTCAAATATTATATATAATAAACAATGTAATAAATATAATACAATTTTTTTTTTCCCCTGAGACAGAGTATCTCACTTTTTCCCCTGTGGCTGGCTTGAAACTTGCTGTGTGGACCAGGCTGACCTCAGACTTACGGTGATCCTTCAGGCATGTTTACCTAAACTTTTTTATGTGTATGAATATATTGCCTGCATGCAAGTGCACCTTTGTTGTGCAGTGTCCCACAGAGGTCAGAGGGGGCATTAGTTCCCGGGAACTGGAGTTATGAACAGTTGTTAGCCATCATGCGAACCCAGGTCCTCTGCAAGAACAGTCAGTGCTCTTAACCGCTGAGCCATCTCTCTAACCTGTTTACCTAAACTTTTAATATATTTCCACAACTGTTAGGGTCAGTCCCAGGCAATCCATACTTTCAGAGATGTGTCCTTGTAAGTCAGCACTTACCAGCAGAAGGAGCCTCCCCTAGCCCAGCTGGCACCTCAGACCTCCTGGACTGGCACAGCAGGTGGTGGCTTGGTGGCTCTGGCCCCTGGTCTTGAGTCTTCTGGGTTGGTTTTGTTTCATTCAGGTCAAAAAACAGGGGCCTTTGTACAACTCAAACGACTCCAGAGTTCCCTCTTCACTCCCAGAGGCAGCAGAAGAGACTGATTTATGTCGTTTTTGCCAACTGTCAATGCAAACACTTCTCAGACTTTGGGGCAAGTGGGAGATAGCAGAGCCAGTTCCATGCACCTCTCAGGCCCACCAGACCTAACACTGGACTTCAGGCCCAAATTAGAAATGCAATCTGCCCTTCTGTGGCCTTCCAGAGTAGGGGCAGGATTCAGGCAAACCGCATCTTTCTCACTACAGGTGAGGGAACCAGGACTCACAGGCTCTCAAGCCTTGCTGTTGCCTCACTGAAGGATGGTGTGGAGAGGCACAAGAGCCTCACTCTGGCATTCCAAACCCAAAAGGGGTAACTGGAAATTCATCTGCCCAGGGCCCCCTTCCTAGGAGCCTGTATCTTCAGTCACCCCACTTTGTATCAGGGACCCATCCTCCCTATTGGCTTTGCTATTTAATGCTGCAATTTATTGACCTCAAAAATATTGCATAGCAGACCTCATTGGGGCAGAGGTTCCCAGGGTTTCTCCCTTCATATGGCAAGCACCATGAGGACAGGTGGTGAGCAGAGCCTCTTGGTATCCCATTCAATTGTTTTCTACCCTGCCTCTCCCTCATGGGCCCCAGTCCATTTGCAAATACCTCAATGGGGCTATAACTATTTTGATTTACTGGAATTGGTAGAAGGATTAAGTCCAGTTTTCCTCAGGGCAAGGAGGAAGAGTAGGGGTGTGACACTAGGATGGGACTGCCCTTGTCACTTCAGTGCCATCAAATAATGTCATACATTCAATGCCTGTATTAGTTGCTTTTGTGTTACTATGATAAGACACCATTACCATGGTAACTTATAAAAAGAACAGTTTATTTGGCTTAAGATTCAGGAGGGATTGGAGTCCATAATGGTGGCCGAGGCATGGTGGTAGAAAGTGGCCAGAGCAGAGAGTGGAGTGATCTTTAAGCAGGTACAGGGAAGCGACGGTCACTGGAAACCCAGCAAGGATTAAGAATTCCCAAAGCCCTTCCCCAGTGACTACTTCCTCCAGCAAAGCCACACCTCCTAAAACCTCCCAAAACAGCACTATCAACTGGGGACAAAATGTCCAAATACTTGGAGCCCATGGGAAACACTCATTCAAACCACCACACTAACCCAACTCATTGTTAGAGTAGCATAAAGCCCCATTAAGATTAACAGGTGAAGACTATCTAGTCTGTTGGAAGATCCACCTATTCCACTGGTCAATCATCTGGTCATAGGACCACCCCTAGGAAGATAGGTTCACCTTAAGTCATGAATGTTAAATAGATGGGCAGAATACCTAGTGTGTTGAGATAATGAACTTTTCCTACCTGGAATCCTGCTTCCTAGTGCAGTGCCTTCTGGACCTGGTCACAGACATGTCTCTGTAAGTCTGCTTGCTTTTCTGTGTAATCTCTTTTTTTCTCTAAAGCTTCCTTCTCCCCGACATGTGGCTACCAGTCTACCATGTGTCTGACCTCCACACAGGCTTGCTGTTTTTCCCTGCTGCCCTCCATTCTCTTCAAGGCAGCTGTGGAGATTAAGAGTCTTCTTTAAAACTCTAAATAAATTGTCCTAAAGCTTCATTTGGGTCCATTCTTAAATTCATTTATGAGATGAAGAACCCTCGAGGGGATGCTCTTTCTCCCTTGTATCATCTTTAAGAAATACGCAGTCTTTTTTCAAGTTTGGTTGTTTTGTTTTGTTTTTGATTTTGAGACAGGGGCTCCCTGTAGTCCTAGCTGGTCTGTAACCCACTATGTAGCCCAGGCTGGCTTCTCTATCACAGAGATCTGTCTGCCCTGCTCCTCTGATTACTGGAAATTAAAAGCCAGCACTACAATACAGGCCAGAAGTGTGCAGTCTTAACATACAGTGATAACCTGTTAATTTATGGTCCCGTCATTAAAAACTTCATTGAAAACGTTAAAAAAAAAAAAAAAAAAAAGAGTGCAATTTACTGCAGCATCAAAACACATGCAATACCCAATAAGTTTAACAAGATGAACAAGTTTGGAGGTGTGGAGATGGCTCAATGATTAAGAGGACTTGGACTTGTTGCTCAAGCATGAGGACCTAAGTTAGGATCCATAGCACCCACATAAGCTGGATGTGGCCACAGGATGGAGAAAACAGGATCTATGGCGGGGGAGCGGGGGTTGTGGCCTGCCAGCCTAGCCCAAAACCAGCAAGCTCCAGGTTCAATGGGATGTGGCACACATACCACATACACTTAACTTACTCCTACCTTCCCCCCAACACACACACACACTCTCTCTCTCTCTCTCTCTCTCTCTCTCTCTCTCTCTCTCAAGAATATAAAATCAAAATTTAAGCAATAGATTTATGCATTAAAGTTTGTAATATTGTTCTGATAACCTCACACTGATTTATAAAGGCTCCAAATTGGAATTTCAGTATGGTTTACAGCAAGTATTCAGAAGTTAATTTTAAAATCTTTTATGTAGATGTAAACCATACATTGGCAAAAATAATCTAAAGATCTGAAACAGAATTAGAGAACACAAATAATTTAAATTTTTTTATTAAAGGGATAAATTGAAGTATACCTTAATGGAACAAAGGCAAAGTCCAAAAAAGTAAACTCATACTTAGCAAAATGAATTGAAAACTGACCTTTATCTGAACCTCACATTGTAACAAAACAAATTAAGATGTATCAGTCCATCTTTAAGATGAACATCATACAAATATCCAACAACATGCTTGCTTCCTGAACATAAATGACTTACACAACTCTCTAAGAAAATGAGCAATCTAAATTAAAAATGAGAAAAAACCTTGAATAAACACAAAAGATAATAAATTTTTAAAAATGAAGGTTACATTCAGAAAGCAATGGCAAATGGCACCACTTTCAGCTGAAAATATGAAGAGAATCATGGTGGAAGAAAAGCTTATGAGATAGTTACATAGACATTACATAGATGTTTTATGAAGACAGAACATGAGATGAAAACATCACTTGATACGAGGCAGAGACTTGAGTGTAGAAGGTACAAGGAAAGGAAAGCCAAACATAGGAAGCAAATCACCAGAAATTAGAAAGGAAGGAGGGATTCCCTTCTACAGAATTTGAATCATCATTGCCCTGACAACACCTTGAATTCAGATTTTGAGCCTCAAACACTAATCAAAAAAAAAAACCTCCACACAGCTTTCAATCACTTTATTACAGCAACCCTGGGAAACTAACACAGATTTAAGATTAGTATTTGGACCAGGCATGGTGGCACACACCTGTGATTCCAGCACTTGGGAGGCAGAAGCAGGAGGATGTCTGTGAGATGGAGGCCAACTTTATTTACATCACAAGTTCTAGGCAAGCTGGGGCTACAAGGAGACCCTGTTTCAAAAAAATAAAATAAAATAAAATAAATTAAAAAAAAATTAAGATTAGTATTTGGAACCACTGTTCCAAATAATGGACATATTAGCCCTGTTCTGTATAACATGTGTCTTATATTACATATGCATATGCATATATTCACATATAAACACATACATATGCATGCACACACAGATGCACATAATATACACATACACAGACATGCATATACACATCATTTACCTACATATAAACACATGTATACACATACACATAACCATATATATGCACATGCACATAAACATATACACATAATATATATATACACATACATACAAATGTGTGAACACACACACACATTTAACTTGCTACATTGCTTCATCTTTCATCTCTTTATTTGTGTAAAAAGAAGAATACTCTCTTCATTCAGGAGGTTTGTGATGTTGTAATAATTACCTAAAAGTAGAGATAAGAAAATATAATTATTTCTACAGGAATCATTTTGAGTATTCCATCACTTGACACAGTATATAACACCAAATAGAAACAATTATGTAATTTTAATTACATGAATAAAAAAATCTAAAAGATAGAGACTACCTACTGACTCAGAGAAAGTCTGAACTATTAATTTCACAACTTTATAACAAAGGCAGAGGCCAACTGGACATGGTGCAAGACAGAAAAATCATTCTGAAAAATCAATCTTTATGTGATCTTTAAAACACTATGGAGTCCTCTAAACCATACATACAAACAGAGATAAGAATAAAAGGTAGGGACTAGAGAGATGGCTCAGTGGTTAAGAGCACTGGCTGCTCTTGCAGAGGAGATGGGATCGATTCCCAGAACCCATATGGTGGCTAACAACTGTCTGTAACTCCAAATCCAGAGGAATTTGATGCCCTCTCTAACCTGTTGGGCACTATGTAAGTGCATGACAGGGGTGCACTTACATACATGCAGGCAATACATTCATACACATGAAATAAAAATAATATAAAATAATATTTATATAAAATAAAATTTCAGATTTTAAAAAGGAAAATGCTACTCTACATTTAATGAGGTAATAAGTGACAGAAAAGTGTAATGTAGATGGATAGTGTCATACATGACAGGTTTACTTGTATTAAGTGCTACTAAGACATTTTATGTATTAGAAATTGATATCTGTCAAAATTAACAATTAAAAGTAACAGTACTGGAGCTGGAGAGATGGGACAGCAATTAAGAGCACTGATTGCTTTTATAGAGGAACTGAGTTTGAGCCACAGCACCCACATGGCAGCAAACAACTGTAACTCCAGTTCCAAGGGATCCAATGCCTTCTTCTGACCTCTGTAGGCACTACACTGCATGGGTACACTTACACATATGCAGGTAATAGAGTCATACACATAAAAATAAAATCTAATAATAAAAAAAAAATTTTTTTAAGAAAGAAAAAGAAAGGGCGCAGGGGGGAGGGGAGTAACAGTGCTAGCACACAGGAAGTGGTATATAGGGCTGAGAATGCAGCTTTTTGAGTGTTTGCCAAGCATAAAGGACCTCTATTCAGTTTCCAGTACCACAACAAAGCAAAACTACATAACACAGATATTATCATTGCCTTCTTCCATCAGTCTAAGCTTTATAAATTAAGGATCTTTCTCCCTTTGTTAGCAAACCACTATATTTATTGAATGAAAGAACAAGCAAATAAATTAAAACACCTATTTCCAACAGCTTGTATTCTTTAATAGTAGTACATTGGTCTGTATATTTAAAATAATCCACTAAAAATGGCTATATAATACCATAGGAGATAACACTGCGGAAATAACTTTCCTTATGGGTTGAAATGCAACATAGTTTCTACTTAATATTTTTATATTCAGCAACCTAATTATAAAATGAAAGAAAAATATGTACAAAACTCCTTTGTTACCAGTAAAATAGTAGTTCATTTTGACCACTGTAGGTTCCATTTTCATGGAACTGGGCATGAACACAGGACTAAACAGCTACTGTACTTGGATAAAACAAAATGCTTCAATTATTCTTACCTGAAGGAACATAGAATGAATCCCCAGTAGTTATCATATAAGGCGTTTCATGTAAGGTACATAAAATGTCACCATAGCTGACATAAAAAACCTATAAAATTAAAAATAAAAATCTCATTTCAAATTGAATCACAAAAATACCACCACAAAAAATCCCTAAAGGAAAAGTAGTAGGCAAAACAATGACTCCTCATAGATATCTATAGTCTAATCTCCAGGACCTGGAAATATGTGCTATTATGCAGCAAAAGGGATCTTGAGAAAGGGAGTTATCCTTAATAATTCAACTGAGGCCAATCTATTCATACAAAACCTTAAAGATGAAATTTTTTTTTTCCTGGAAGCAGTGAAAAAATGAAGCAGAAAGAAAAAATTTAAACACAAAAAGTCTTTGTACTGCTGCTGGCAGCAAAGACAAGGCAGCAAGACCACAAGCCAAGGAACATAGGCAATTTCTAAAAGCTACCAACAGCCAGTGAAAAAATGAGAACCTGATTCCTATAACTACATGGGGACTGAACTTTGCCAACAATGTCAATAAAACTGGGAGAAAATGAATGCAGGTTCATCTTCAGAAAACAAACCTGACAACATCTTGATTCCAGCCCTGTAACAATCTTGAGCAAAGTACCCAACCAAGCCTGCCAGATGTGTAACTGATCAAAATAAGATAATTAAAGGGTACTGTTTTATGCCACTAGTATGTGGTATTTTATTATGACAGTAATAAAAAAGTAGTATGAATTAATTTTTGTTCTAATTTTGTTCTTTATTTAATGTCAGGAAAATTCAAAACCATTTTACCAGTAAACTTTCCTAGAAAAAGTGTTATATAAGCCTGTTCAAATATTACATGCTTTGTTGACAACCAACTTCTCAATCTGAATGATGTATCACCGTAAGAAGCCAATCCCTCTTCCTTATAAAAACAAAAACCTCACCAATTTAAATAAGCATCAAGGTTAAGAAAATAAATGGGTAAAACTTAACTTTCAATTGTGATGGCTTCAAATTCAAACGTAGCCAGTTTCACAATTCATTCATAGATAGGCACACTGATAATGAACAATTTTAAAGATAACAAAAATGAGTATAAGGCCTTCAAGCTTTAAGATATGGTTAGGGTATGTTCATCACCAAAATTCCCATTTTAGAGTCTCATCTCCCAGTGTGATGATATTAGGAAATCAGGTGTCTGGAGGTAATTAAGACTTCAGAGTAGAATTCTCCTGTAAGGAATTAGTATCCCTGTAAGTGGCACCAGAGTTCTCTTGCTGTCTCATTCATGATGCAAAGCAGGAAGTGTGCCTTCAACAAAGATCTGCCAACATCTTGATGTTCTCAGCTTCCAAAACTGAACAATAAATGTTAGTTCTTGGACACACTAAATCTGCAGTAGTACTATAACAGCAGTCCAAACTAAGGCATCCATCAAGAACCTTTTGTCCTCAGATAATGATCTCTTTTGGAATACAGAGGAACAAGTGGTAGAGAGAACACTAATGCATCTCTCAACTCAATGAATCAATGAATCAATGAAGTTTCCTCATACAACAGAGGGCAATGAACACAAAGGGCCACAAATGGCCAAATCATAGAGAATAAGAGTCTGCAGAATATGAGTCCCTGGACAAGACTCCTATATTAAACTTCACCCAATCAGGGCTAAGGGACCATTGCAGAAGAGGGAGCAGAAAGACTGTAAGAGCCAGGAGAGGAGGTGCATGACTATATGGAAATAGAGTCTTGCAGGCTCCTGAGACCTTGCTCATATGAACTTACAGCAATGGTGTCAGCATGCACAAGACCCATGCAAACTCAAGCAGACAAAACCCAGCACAGAACTGAGGAAATGGGCAACAGGCCCCAATCTTAGTTGAAGAACTACTGGGCAGCTGATTACTGCTGGATGAAAGAGAGCTGATCTTCTTTAAGAGAATGATACTAGATAGTCTGATTAGACCCCAGTGGATGAACTTGCACTGAGGGATGTCTGGGGATACTAACTTGACTCAATAGGCATTATCATAAATGACAGAATGAATGAAATCCAGTAGGGGGGCTGTGGGAGGGTACAATGGGGAAGGGGGTATAAAGATGATTAAGATGTTGTGTATGAAATGCACAAACCTTCAATTAAAAAATATACCAAAAAAAGTTTATCGAGGGGCTGGAAAGACAGTTTAACTGTTAAGAGCACTAGCTGCTCTTGCAGAGGATCTGGGTTCAGTTCCCAATACCCACACAGTGGCTAGCAACTGTCTTTAATTCCAGTTGCAGTGGATCCGATGCCCTCTTCTGACTTCCATGGATATTGCACAACACAGTTGTATTTAAATACATGTAGGCAATAAACTCATACACATCAAATAAAAATAATAATTTTTTAAATTAAAAAAAATCTTTGAAAAATAAGCCACAAATACCTGAATAAGTTAGCCCTTATGTAGAACTTAGTTCTTTGTAAGCACATTATTTTTATACATCTAATGTGTCTAATATTGAAACAGACACTATTTTAATGACTTTTCACAGAAAAAGAAAGTGGTGCACAGACAGATTAGGTAACTTTCAAACTTTATAATGTCAATGTAAATGGCAGAACTGGGATTTGAAGTCAGGCACTCTTATTCCATAATTCATGTACTCCACCACTATAATATGAGATTCTCTAAATGGAAAAATGCTCCTAAAATATTCTAAGTCTTTTTATAATTTGAAAAATAAAAATTTCTTATGTTATCTAAAGTTTTGCCTCAGAAAAACTAAAGCTAGAAAGTCAAACATACATTTCTCGGTCTTTTTGCTTATCTATTCAGTTTGGTTCTCTAAGCATACATTTTCTCATCTCTTGTCGACATTTAATTTCCATACTAGTAGTAGGAATATAATTTAATGCAGGCATTATGGAGAACACAAGATATCTCAAAAACTTTAAAACAGAACTGTCAAATGATCTACCAATCCATCTACTGGCCATATGTTGAAAGGAAATTAGTAAACTGAAGAGACATCTAACACTCTCATGTTCACAATAATTAAGAAATGCAACAATTTAAATGCCCATAAACTGGTGGTATACATGCATCATGGAATACTATTTTTAATCATAAAAAACAAATCTCATCATGTATGGCATCAAAAAAACAAAAACAAAAACAAAAACTGGAGATCATTCTGTTAAGTGAAATAAGCCAAGCACAGGAAAAAGACACTATGTAGAATATAAAAAGTTACTCCCATCGGGCATGGTGGCACATGGTGGCACACGCCTTTAATCCCAGCACTCAGGAGGCTGTGAATTCAAGGACAGCCTGGTCTACATAGTGAGTTCCAGGACAGCTGGGGCTACAGGGAGACCCTGTCTCAAAAAGACCAAAAATAAAAAAAAAGTTACTCCCAATGAATACTAAATTACAGTTCAACAGAAGCAGAAGTTCTGCTGTACTGTTACATAGGAAGGCAAAAACAGAAAAAATGTTCGGACATTTTTTTAAAGGTGTAAGAAAGAATTTAAAAAAATTTTTTTGCCATAAAGAAATTGTAAAACCTGGGCAACCCCTCAGTCATCCTTGTAAGTAAGCTCAGTTAATTCATTGGTTCCCCAGGAAAACTTTAATCAAGCATTAGTTTGACACTAGAACCTTAGAAGGGGATAAGCACTGCTTAGTATCCCCAGGAAAAGAATTCTCACAACAGATGGAAAATTTATTTGTTAATATTATTATGTCTCATTAATTATTAAAAAAGAAAATAAGAACACAAAAGATGTTAAAAGATGGGAATGGAGATATTTTCCAAAATAGAAAAAAACGAGAAAGACTAAGCAAGTGATTGAAGGTCTGCATAGGTCTGTTATGATACATAAAGGATGAGACAGAAATAATATACGCATAATCTTAAAATTTCTGAAGTCATAGTCAACTAGTTTAAGGAGCAAAATATATCTAGTAAAGGTTTATCTGAAAGGTGTTTTTGCCCAAGCTTTATCTACATAGCACATGGTAATTAAAAGAACCAGACTGGTGGAATTAACCTTCTTGGATGTTTAACAGCCATACTTTGAGGCCTATACTAATCTGGTCAGAGGGACTTAAAGGACAGTTTTTGCTCCTTGCCCAAATAGGTTGACAAAGTTCCAGGGGACTATGGAGCATCTCTCAAATGTCCTGTAACTGTGGTGAGTCACCTGTCCCCTTGTTTGGGGAGGCTATGGAGACCCCACCAGATGGACTTAGTGCCCCGTCTACAAAGAGAAGGGTCAACGCAGAGGAAACATTTCCTCCATGCAAAGCCCGCCATGATAAGCAGGACCTTTGACTGATCTTCACATAGATGGAACTGGTAAAAGAAAGCCTATGTGACCCCTGAGGAACAGATTCTCAAACGACCTTAATAGTAAAAACAAATTGGTTTATTTGGGCCAATCGTACAGTCCTAAACACCCAAAGGAAAGTATAACCAAAGATTAAAGAGATCAGTATATTTCTTTAAGAGTTCAAGGGATTACACTTCCCAGACATCAGGCTTAAGTCCACATAAAATCTTATTTAGACAATTGTTGGGAGACCTCTGTTATGCAAAAGTCGAAGCCCCTTCACACCGGACAGCTCATGCAGCTCGGGGAATGTGCCGCGGGCTCCTTTTCATAGCAAGGTGCTTTCTGGCATCTTTCCTGTCTCTCCCTTTGAAGTGGCCGCCACAGATGCCTTGACATAAACATGGCCTTTGGCTCTATGCATACCATGCCTTCCTGTGTGTGATTTTTACAGGTAGACAATAGTCTAGCAGAAACCCACTTCCACATGTAAATAGAATATCTCACAAAGTATCTAAAAGCTTTTACCACTACCCCCATGGTATATAAATATGCTAGTCTTCTCTTAATAGTTGGAGATCAGGTCAGAGACTGGGTCCCGGAGATTGGGTCCCAGAAAGCTGGAAGCTGTAACACTAAATCCTGTGATCCAGTCTCCCCGGGGGGCGCTATTCCTCCGTTATCGGCCCACGGATACCCCAGCTTTCGCCGCCTCCGTGCCTCTTCCCTGTGGAGTTCACTGGCCAGGAACTCCACAATCCTGAGGAAGGGTA